TTTTTGGATTGGGTTGTTTGTTTTTTTGTTATTGAGCTGCATGAGCTGCTTGTAAATTTTGGAGATTAATCCTTTGTCAGTTGCTTCTGAACATCTTTCAAACATTCATTCATGTATTCATTGATTTGTCCATTTATTCATTCATTCAAATATTTTCCATTACTCCCTACCATGTGCCAAACACTACAGGCCATGGGCACACACTGTCAAACAAGACAGACCAGCCATTATGGAGCTAACAGCCTAGTGGAGGAGAGATAAAAGTAAAGGATAATTTCACTGCAGGTGATAAGGATGGTGATGGGGAAATATAGGTATATGCAGTTCTGTATCCCGTGCTTTGTGCTTGGTTTTATGCTGTGAACGTCATGTTCAGTGGCCACACGGTAGTCATTGTGTGATGGTTCCATGATTGATTGCTTGATTTTACCATTTCTCTATTGCAGGACCTTTAGGTTGTCTCCAATTTTTATTTTTTATTATAAAATATGTTGTGACCAACCTCCTTGTATAAGAGTAAGCTGCTGATCCCTGGATATTTATTTTGGATCTGGCTCTTACTGAATCATCTGATTAACTCTAGTCATTTCTCAGTTGGTTCTCTTAGGTCTTCTAAGTATACAACCACGTTATCTGCAAATAATGATGATTCTGTTCCCTTTTGATAATAGTACCTCTTATGTGTATTTTCTGTCATACTGCATTGGCTAGAGCATCCAGGACAATATTAAATAATAATAATATAGTAACAATATTGTAGTGTTTCCCCATCAATTATGTGGCTGTTGGATCAGGAGAGATTTCTTATCACGTTGAGAAAACTTATTTCCTTTCATGGTTTACTAAAAGTTTCATCAGTAGAGGACGTTATTTTTTTTCAAGCTGGTTTCTATAGTCCTTTTAGCACTACACGTGTTAGTTTGATGCCTGAAGGATATGCACATTATCCAGTCTCACTAAAGAACGTGCAGCCTAGATGCCAATTGACGTGTGCATTTTTGTGAAAGTGTTTCAAAGAATATAAGAAGAGGAGACATTTTACTTGCCTTCTAGTCTCATTTGGGAAAACAAACCGACATACACAAAAATTGATGTACACAAAACATATGATTGATAATTCTCACCATGGGTGAATTTTCTAGCTGCTAAAGAAAAATATGGTAGTTGAAGATCTTTTGGTAACAGGTCCCAGAAAGAGACAGATGAAAGAAAATACTAAAGGTTTTCATAGGTCTTATCCTCTCTGTCCTTAGGCATTGTCCTGGATTCAGGGGACGGTGTCACCCACAATGTCCCGATCTACGAGGGCTATGCACTGCCCCATGCCATCATGCGCCTTGATCTGGCTGGCCGCGACCTCACAGACTACCTCATGAAGATCCTCACAGAGAGAGGCTATTCTTTTGTGACCACAGGTACCCAGCCTCTTTCTGGACTTGACTTGAGCTCAGAACCAAATCTGATCTAGGACCAGAAATTCTCATGACTAATGAGAAGTCAGTGGCCCTGTGTCCTCAAACTCTTTTAGGGTAAACGGGGAGGCCCTAGGCTGGGGCTGGGCCCCTAGACCAGACCAGATAGTCAGGGCAGCCTTATTTAAGGAGGAATGTTCCCAACCAAGACACCTTGGGGAGGGAGACAAGGCTTAGACCTACTCATCCTAAGAAGCGCTTGGCTTTTCCCTCTTTTAAGTGTGCTTTCACAGCACTCCTTCGCTCCCCAGGGACCTGCTACCTCTGTCCATGTCCACACCAGGATCAGAGCTAGTTTTTATTCGGCAGAATGTTGGTAAGAATCTGGTGGCACATTTCATTACCTAGGGGGTTTATGGTTTGTCTGAGGACAAATGGAATAAGTAAGGTCTGAATTTCTAAGGGAAAGTGGCCCCCTGGGCAGGAAGAAGTTTTGGGTAGGAGTCTTCCTAGATTCTGTACACTCCCAGCATATAAGCCTCCATCTAGATGGGAAATGTGTCCTGAAAGGCCCTCAGGAAGGCCTGCAGCTTTGTCAGGGCTGAGTGATGAGAGCAAGACAAAAGCACATAAAAAGTTTTGCTTGGGAATCGAGATTTTGAACTTTCACTTTAGAAAGAGGAATGAAAACATTAACATTCATCTTGAGACTGAACCCAAAAGAGAAGGAAGAAGTTTTCATGGAGATCAAAATAGGACAACCAAACTAACAGAACTGAGTATCTACTCTCCGTCATTTCTACTCTTTCTAGCCGAGCGAGAAATCGTGCGAGACATCAAGGAGAAGCTGTGCTATGTGGCCCTGGACTTTGAGAATGAGATGGCCACGGCAGCCTCCTCTTCCTCCCTGGAGAAGAGCTACGAGCTGCCAGATGGGCAGGTCATCACTATTGGCAATGAGCGCTTCCGCTGCCCTGAGACCCTCTTCCAACCCTCCTTCATTGGTGAGGCTCGGCCTGTCGTCCTGGCCAATTAGGAGGGCAGGGATGGAAAGAGAAACACCAGGAGTCACTCACACTGTTTATTGTTTATACTTAGCCTATATTTTTCCAGGAAGGACCAAAAATACATAAACAATACAACTAGATTAAAATCTAATTTTAAATATAAGGGTAAGGAAATCAAAATAAAGGAAAAGTGGGATGGGAATATAAACATGAAACTAAGAATAAGATTAAAACATAAAATATTTCTTGGATCCCTCAACATTTAAATCATGGGGTCTGAAACCTATAGCAGTAAACAGGGTGAGTTTGGGGATCAGACCTGGTTTTAAATCCTGATTCTGCTCGTTCAAGTGCTGTACCTTGGACATGTTACCTTCTTCAAAACTCAGTTTTCTTATCTATAAAGTGGAAATTATGATAGTACCTACTAGATAGGGTTGCCACAAGGATGAAATAAGATAATATTTAATACAAGGATAACTACTTTCTTGAGAAGAGAGAAAGAGAAGAGAAAGGCCTGTAAGCAAATGTTGACATATAGTGTAGTGGTAAATAGCAAACTGGACAAAGCGCTATAGGCCTAAGAAATCAGGGAAGGCTTCTCAGAGAAGGTGAATATTTGAATAGAACCTTGAAGAATGAGTGTCATTTTATGGTATCTGGGAATGGAAGGAGTGCAGAGTAGGGAATGGCGTGCAAGGCAAATGGAAAGGTATGTGCAAAGTGTGGAGGAGTGACAAGTCATATTCTATTTGGGACATGATGGGTGAGGTGTGTGTGTCTGTGTGTCTGTGTGTTTGCACACAGAGGAAACGAGAGAGCCACTGGACCACACAAAGAGCATGGGGGTTAATCATATCAGCAATGTAGAGCCCCTGGAAGTTTTTAGACAGCAGAGTAGCAAAGTCAGTATTTCACTTTAGGAAGATTCCTCTATCTACAGTGTGGAATTATATCACATGGAAAAAAGACTGGAGATGGGGGACCCCAGGTAAGTGGGCATGAGCTGGTATGGCAGGCAGGGCCTTTTACTCTGGAAGATCTTGGTTCCAGACTAAGGTAGCTAGATGTCAACCAATAGGCAAAGATGATATGATGGGTATATCCATACAATGGAATATTACTTGGCTATAACAGACTGTAACATGAATGGGCCTTGCAAACCTTATGCTACGTGAAAGGAGCCAGACACAAAAGAACAAATATTGTATGGTTCCATTTATATGAGATGTCCAGAATAGGCAAATCTATAGAGACAGAAAATAGATTAGTGGTTGCCTAAGGCTGGGGAAGGAGTGCAGGGGAAAATGGAGAGTGTCTGCTGATGGGCATGGAGTTTATTTGGGGAGGATTAAACATGTTCTAAAATTAGATTGTGGTGATGGTTGCACAACTCTGTGAATACACTAAAAACTAGTGAACTATACACTTTAAAGGGGTGAATATTATGGTACATGAATTATATCTCAATAAATCTGTGAAAAAAGTGATACAATGAAAGTATTCCTTTAGAAATATTCATCAGGGAACAGTGTGAAAGATCAGTCAGAACTGGGGGAAACTCAAGGCAGGGCGATGACCAGTTAGAGAGTCTGATCTTATAATCCATTAGGGAGGTGACTGAGGCGAACCAGGGTAGCTGCATCAACAGAAAGGTCACCTGAGGAGCTGTAGGTGTGACATGGTGGATGTTGACTAGCTACTGCGATCTCTACTAGGCATGGAGTCAGCTGGAATTCATGAAACAACCTACAATTCCATCATGAAGTGTGACATTGACATCCGCAAGGATTTATACGCCAACAATGTCCTCTCTGGGGGTACAACCATGTACCCCGGCATTGCTGACAGAATGCAGAAGGAGATCACAGCCCTGGCCCCCAGTACCATGAAGATCAAGGTGGGTCCTGCCCTGGCTCCCTCCATCCTGTTCTTTGTACAAAGACCTGTGTACTTGGGAGATGCTCCGAGTCGGGCTGCCAGGCTTACAGCTTGGTGGCCTCCTGGGTGCTCCATCATTCTGGCCCGAGACAGATTTCACCTTGGGGGATTATGTTGTTTGGGCCCTCATAAGCGGGAGACACATTTAGCCTGGGCTCTCAAACACAATTTCATGGACCCCATGTGAGAAGGAGGTGAAAGAATTTGGAATGGAGAGAAGTTGAGGGGCTTGAGGAGGAAATGAGGAGGGAAAGAGGGAAAGAAAAGAAGGAGACAACGCCACACCATCTTTAAACTTTAAACTTTAAAAAGGACTTGGGTGGGGCTTCCCTGGTGGCGCAGTGGTTGAGAGTCCGCCTGCCGATGCAGGGGACGCGGGTTTGTGCCCCGGTCTGGGAAGATCCCACATGCCGCGGAGCGGCTGGGCCCGTGAGCCATGGCCGTTGAGCCTGCGCGTCCGGAGCCTGTGCTCCGCAGCGGGAGAGGCCACAATAGTGAGAGGCCCGTGTACCGCCAAAAAAAAAAAAAAAAAAAAGGACTTGGGTGTCACCCCAGAGGAGGGTGAAAGTTCCAAAGAGAGAATGTTGGCTATAGGACAGGCTGCTGGTTCAAACTCACAGGAACATTCCTTGATTCCTGGACAGCCTCTGATGTGCTGTCTCATCTTGGTCACAGTCCTCCCACACAATGCTTCTCACTGCATAGGCCTCAACAGAACGGGAGCCCACCTGTCTTACCACTTCTCCCCAGCCTCTGGTCCCCAAGCAATCAGACAGACACTTTTAGGGCTTCTAGGAACTTTGCTACTACAGGATTAGAAAGAGTTAGGAGTAAAATAGAGATAACAGATAGGTTGAAGGTCACAATAAAGTTGGTCTCTGGGGAGTAGGCCTGATCTGAGGAAGTGTGTTCTCTATGTCAGTATTCTAAGAACCTTCTTCACAAAGGCTTTCCCCCTGCCTAGCAGATGGTGCTTGGCACAGGGAAGCAGAGCAGGCCACCAGAAAACAGGTGAGCAGCGGGCTCTTCTCACCCAGAGCCCATTGGAGCAGCCACGCTTACCGAGGTCTGCCGCATGGGGGGCAACGTGCCAGGCCTGGGGCAGCGGCTTTTTACTAGGACGACGTGTCAGGATACCACACCTGATTCTGGTTCAGCAGGTCTGGGGTGCCCCCACCACTTACACTTACAAATGGACACCAATGATTTGATGCATATTCCAATTTATGAGCCACTGCCCTGAGTTCAATAACATTGCCGGCCTCCCAGGAGTTTAAGATCTGATCTGTAGACATGATCAATGGAAGAACAGCTTAAATAAGACCAGAGGAGGGGAAAGCACACTGCAGGCAGGGGAAACAGAGTGAGTAAGCAAAGATGGCCGGGGATGTGTGCAGGTACAAACACCCCAGCCACATTGGACTGGGGGAGATGAGGCAAGTTCCAGGATATGCAAGTGTGGAAGGATATGGAGTACGGTGGGAATGGGGCTGAGATTTAGGGCCTCCAGCCCAAGACAACCCAGAGTTTTCTCACAACTAGAACTGCCCAGCAGTAAAATCTGTTACCTGCTTAATGGCTGTGCCAGTCCCTGAGGTATCTGTCAAAGGAGCAATGGGGTGACTTTTGTCTGCCTGAATAAGATAACTTCTAAAGACCCTACTTATTTAGCTATTCCATGATCTCTGCAATTTAGGAAATATGTAGGGAGATTCTTAGGAGACAAAAAAATCTATTTCATGTCTGGTTTGTTCTAGCACTAAATTCTTAGTCCCTTCAGAAACAGGAATTAGTTGAAGAGTCATGGTCCTTTGAGATATACTTTTAGGTGGAGTTCAAAGTTGTCTGACATGACAACCAATTTCTAAAGGCCAAGCTCAGGAATCCCAGTGGCATGTATGAATTTGAGGACTTCTCAGATACAAGAGACTATTGAGTAGACTGGCTTAGACTCAGGGATGGAGGAATCCCAGCCCAAGCTGCCCACGCATCCAAACTCTAGGCAAGAACAGAACAGCACTCCCCTTACAGATGTTTGTATTGGTTAGCTATTGCTGAGTAACAGCAACTATGAAATTTCAGGGCACGTAATAATAAGCATTTATTGCTCATGTATCTGCAGGTCAGCTGGGAGTCAGCTGATCTAGGTCAAGCTTGGCTAGATAGCTCTGCAGGCCCAGCCAACTCAGGTCAGGGGCACATCTCTCACTGTGGGGCCCAGGCTGAAGGTCCAGTAGCTCTTCAAGGGAAATTCTTCTCATGAAGATGGCAGAGACACAAGAGAGTGTGCCTACCTGCATGCCTGAAACACATTTCTAGCCCCTGTGTCAAGTCTGCTGACATCCCACTGGCCAAAGCAAATACAGGGCCCAGCCCGAAGTCACAGGGTGGAACACTGAACTCTTCTCATGGAGGGGCAGGGGGATGGGGTGGGAGGAAGAGTGACAATCTGAGCAATAGTCTAATCTACCACAAGGTTTCTCCTGTTCCTCTCTGACCACAGAGGCTGTTCTTTTCCAGGACAGTCTGGCAGTGTGGTGAGGTGATTCCTGGACCACCTTCCCTATTCCTTGGCGACCGATCATGATTCACCACATTTGCTCTTTGCAGATTATTGCTCCCCCAGAGCGGAAGTACTCAGTCTGGATCGGAGGCTCCATCCTGGCCTCTCTCTCCACCTTCCAGCAGATGTGGATCAGCAAGCCAGAGTATGATGAGGCAGGGCCCTCCATCGTCCACAGGAAGTGCTTCTAAAGTCAGAACAGATTCTCTGGGGGTCTCCTTGAGACTGCTCTGTTAACAATCATGAAACAGTAAAACCTACAAGCCTTACTTCTCTGTGTGGGACTCTATTTTCCTGGGCTGACTCTCACACACAATGCTAAAGGCTTTTCACACCTATTTCTAGTCCACACAATGACCCTGAGAGGTAGGTTCTATTATTACAGATGAGGAAATTGAGGCTTATAGAAGTTAACACCTTGCTGAAGATCACACAGAGCCAGGGTTGAAATCCAAGTGTATGTGATGCTAAAACCTAGTGCTTCTTCTGCTATACCACCTTATTTCCTTTATCTTGAACATTAGTAAGAATGAGGACTAGATGACTCTTGGAGGGAGGAGGGTTAAGAAACAAGGGCTTTGGGCTTCCCTGGTGGCGCAGTGGTTGAGAGTCCGCCTGCCGATGCAGGGGACACGGGTTCGTGCCCCGGTCCGGCAAGATCCCGCATACCGCGGAGATGCTGGGCCCGTGAGCCATGGCCGCTGAGCCTGCGCGTCCGGAGCCTGTGCTCCGCGACGGGAGAGGCCGCGGCAGTGAGAGGCCCGCGTACCGCAAAAAAAAAAAAAAAAAAAATAGAAAAGAAAGAAAGAAACAAGGGCTTTCATAGATGTAAGTCCTTGTACTCAAGGGTGATACACTAGAGACTGTGAACAGAAAGGGAAACGCAGGGCTTATAAGCTGTAACATGTGAGTGGTTCAAACACAATGTTATTTAAACTTAGGTGAAGGATGGTCGTAGTGGGCTTAAGATCTCTATGAGGTCCTTTGTCATTGAGGACTAAGTTGTATTTTGTCCCAAAAGCTAATCAAGAAAGGAGCAGCATCCCAAGGAAGAATATTTTCTCTTCCTGCACTCCTGTTCCCCCTCTCTCTTCTCCTTTTCTCTCTGTCTCTGTCTCTCTCTCATTACTTGCTACCCACTCCCTGCCCTTGGTCAAGTCTGTTTAATTTCACAAGTATTTACTGAATTTTTGGCATCTGCAATTACTGGATGAGGCCAAATGGGATTTATGTACCCCACAAAGATGATTCCTGCCCATCAAGGTCACACTGCATAAAGGGGGAGGCAGACACATACATATAAGACAATGATTTGAGGTGAAATAGAAGCCCTCACAAAATACTATGAGAAAATACGGGATAATAATAACAGCTAACATTGACTGAATGCTTATAATATGCCAGTCACTAGGTTAAGAGCTTCCATGGATTTTCTCATTTAATCCTCACCACAGCCCTATGAGGCAGGTACTAGTGTCATTCTCATTTTATAGCTAGTTCACTAGTTAACTAGATTTCCCAGCTAGTTATTGGCAGAACTAAGTCCTTACTTCTGCCTGGTGTGCCCTTTGCTCCTGCCACCTGGCCAGGTCCCATCCTTGATGCTCCTGAACAGAACCCACCTGGTCTTCCCAGACACACCCATTTGGAGACAGTGGAGCCCAGTGGAAGCACACAGACCTCAATGTCAGACATTCTTCCTCCACCATCCCTGCACTTGCCCTCTGGGGGTGCAGTAGAGAAGCGTATTTTCTTTTTCTTTTTTTTAATAAATGTACTTATTTACTTCTGGATGCATTGGATCTTCGTTGCTGCATGCAGGCTTTCTCTAGCTGCGGCGGGTGGGAGCTACTCTTCATTGCAGTGCGCGGGCTTCTCATCGTGGTGGCTTCTCTTGCTGCGGAGCACAGGTTCTAGGCGCACAGGCTTCAGTAGTTGTGGCACGCAGGTTCAGTAGTTGTGGTGCACAGGCTTAGTTGCTCCGCGGCATGTGGGATCTTCCCAGACCAGGGCTCGAACCTGTGTCCCCTGCACTGGCAGGCGGATTCTTAACCACTGCACCACAAGGGAAGCCCCAAGAAGCATACTTTCAAAAACCCCTAGAGGATTTATGTCTTGGGACAGGTTTCCCAGAAGCAGACCCTGAAATGAGGACTCACATGCAAGAGATTTATTAAGGAAGTGCTCTCGGTAGAAATCAGTGAGTAGAGTGGGAGAGGCAGGACAGAAAATGGTGGCTTCTGCCTGGTCCCCTGAGAGCCCTGGAGTATAAACCTTACTGCAGGCAATGAGCCAGGCTTTCATGGTCACATATCAGTGATAAGTGAAGGTACTTCCTGCGGGACAGAAAGTCCCAGGATTTCCTCCTGTGCAGGAAAAATGTTCCAGTAGGTTGAGGGCAGTCCTGCAAAGAAGAGCCACAGGCACAGGCTATTGGGAAAGAAAGCACAGGGAAGAGGCGGTAGGATGCCCAGGCACAGAGATGCCGCTAGGGCAGTGTGGAGAGCTGACCCTCCCTGCTGTGGAGGGGCACGGCAGAATCTCCATGTGGGGCAAGAAGGGGAGGATGACCCGTCTTTCCCCTCCCTACCCCACCTGATCTTACCTCACTTCAATAAGTGCTGTCCTAGAATTCTGCAGGGGAAGTCAAGTTATATGCTAGTAGAGAGGAGAGCATGGATGGGTTACAGTGGCTTGAGGAGAGTGTAAATTCAATAGGAAGTCAACCAAATAGAAATAACATCCCAGGCACTGAGTAATGTTAGCATTACCTTACTTATTACGTAATACCTATTGGTTGGTAACGGTGTGGCAGGTGTGTTAAATGCTGCACGTGGATTACCTTTCTTAATCCTCACCTCTGGCTGTCTGAATCCAGAGCCCACACTCTTAACCATTCCCTATATGCCTCCTTTTATGATTAGGTCTATCAGTCAGAGTTCATTCAGGTGAGCAGAGCCACCATGCATATTACGGGGATAAGGGGGTTATTACAGGAATGAGGCTGCCTAAAAGTGGGACAAGCTGGGGAAGTGAAGGTCTGAAGGGAGCTGTGGGATGATCAGAGAGGAGTCACTAGGCCTTGAGAACTTGCTGGGATCTATCTGTGGGCACATCTGTCTGTCACAGTGTCTGACAACAGAGATCTCCTCAGAGCAGCTGAGGCTCCCATTCTACTTTCCAAATCTCCACCAGGTCCTCTTTTGACCAACTCAAACTCAGAGCCCTGTCAGGAAGGAGATTCTGGAAGCGTACTTCCCAGCTTAACCAAACTGAGTTAGCACAATCCAGTACATTAGAATATCTTTGATGTAGATGAGAATATAACTGACCAGACACCAAGCTGCAGAAGAAAGTCAGGGTCACATTTGTGTATGTTTATCTCCTCATTTTTAATGGTTGCATAGCGTTTTGGTAACACCGATCAGTTTACTTGTCAGCAGCACTTCAGAGCTCTCTCTAAGGACTAAGCAGAGTGTCTAGTACATAGCAGATGCTCAGCAAATATTGGATGAAGGAATGGATGCTGAAGGACTAAAGTCCCCGTGGGGCAACATCAACTCTTTACTCATAAACTCCAGCAGATATCCGACAATCCTGCAGGAGCAGGAAGTGACATTATTCCTCCAGGCAAGTGGGACGTAATTCTGCTCACCAACATACCGCTGTTTTCCAGGAAGAACTGATCACCACCTTATTTTCTCCCTTGCTCCGGACAATTCCTTTAATCGCCCTCCTCCCTCGTGCACATTGGGGTGGGGCTCCAACACTCACATTTGTTTCTTGAAAACTTACCTTTTGGCCACAGCTGGGCCAATCAGAGTCTCTCTCCTGGAAACTTGGAATTAAGATCAAGAAAGATATTGAACTTTGATGCATGGTAAACATAATAAAACAAGCATAAAGAAATACAGAGGAGTAGAAGGATCATCAATAATAGTGGGATAACTAAAAGGCAAAAGACATTTTAGTTTCTTACTTTACACTATACATCCCCCAAATGTAAAAGCTTTTAGAAGCAAGGAACAGAGTGAGAGAAAATATTCACAAAGGACTCATATCCAGAATATACAAAGAACAATAACAGTAAGTAAAAGACAGATAGCCAATAGAAGAATGGGCACAGGACTTAAACAGGTCCTTCCCAAGAGAGGTTACTGAAATGGTTGATAAACATACGAAAAAATGTTCCATTTCATTGATCATCAGGAAAATGCAGATTAAAACTGCAAGTCACCATTATACAGCAGAATGAATAAAATGAAGAAAGCTGACGGTACCAATTGTTGGCAAGAATGTGGAACAACCAGAGCTCTCACGCACTGACGGTGGCACTGCCTATTGGTACAGTCAAACACTGTGGAACTGCATACTCTTTGGGAATGTCTACTGAAGCCCAGCATACGTCAGTTCCACTTGTAGGCATATGCCCAAGAGAAATGTGTACTTAACTTTACCAAAGACATATTCAAGAATATTCGTAGCGGGACTTCCCTGGTGGCACAGTGGTTAAGAATCCGCCTGCCAATGCAGGGGACGCGGGTTTGAGCCTTGGTCCGGGAAGATCCCACATGCCGCGGAGAAATTAAGCCCGTGCACTGCAACTACTGAGCCTGCTCTCTAGAGCCAGCGAGCCACAGCTACTGAGCCCACGCACCACAACTACTGAAGCCCACGCACCTGGAGCCCGTGCTCCACAACAAAGAGAAGCCACCACAATGAGAAGCCTGCACCCCGCAACAAAGAGTAGCCCCCACTTGCCGCAAATAGAGAAAGCCCGCACACAAAAACAAAGACCCAACACAGCCAAAACCAACCAAACAAATAAATAAATTTATATAAAAGAAAAAAGAATATTCATAGCAATGGTATCTATAATAGCTTTAATCTAGAAACTCTCAAATGTCCGTCAAGAGTAGAATGGATAAGGGGACTTCCCTCATGGTCGAGTGGTTAAGACTCCATGCTCCCAACGCAGGGGGCCCGGGTTTGATCCCTGGTCAGGGAACTATATCGCACATGCTGCAACTAGAAGATCCCGCGCATCACGACGAAGAGCCCGCATGCCGCAACTAAGACCCAGCACAGCCAAATAAATAAATAAATTTTTTTTAAAAAAAGAAAAGAGTAGAATGGATAAAACACATTGTGGTATAACAACATAGTGGAATACCATACAGCAGTGAGAATGAATGAACTACAACTACATATATAACATACATAAATCTCACAGATGTTATGTTGAATGAAAGAAGTACTTA